ATTTCAAACTGACAGTGCTTAATAATGAACTTTTACAGTTTTTTTGAAATTTAACTTCTCATAGATAGTAAATAAAATTACACACAAATAATTATAAAAAATATGTAATAATGACAGAAACTCCATATAATGATCTGTTACAATCAGCAATTTCAAAAAGCATTATTTTAATTAAACATTGGAGCCACACAATCCTGCTCACATGTATAACATTTTATTTATCACGAACATGGCACATAATAAGTAAATAAAATACATTTCACAAAGTACGATGAAACGCATTTCTCTTTTAACCGGGAACTGTACTCTTAAGAAAAGATGCAGTATGGAATGCTTAGAACCACTCGATGCCACAGTTCCTCGTTTCCCCACGCATTGATCAAAATATACGTGTATTTTAAAAATCAGTTAAACAAATTCAAATGCAAGTATTCAAACAGGAATACTTCACAAATTAGATAAAAGAGAGGTACACAATGAACTTAACTGATAAACACAGAAAAGCATGTAAGGACCGAAAAAAAAAGATGTATTCGTGGAGAACTTTTAAGTTAACTTGCTCTATTTTTTGCAAAACATTCAAGATAATTACTGTATAGCTAGGGATTTATTCACACTTGTTAGTAATGTAATTTATTAGAACAGTCGCAAGCATATAGGAGAAGTATGCCATATCCATGGAAAAAAAAAATTCCCAAGCCAGACTGTAATAGTGAAATATAAAAGGGAATAAGAAAATGCCATATTTCCAACAAAATTAGTATTTGAGTATGCAAAAACATGAACAAGAAACGAATATTTTTCTGAAAAGTTTTCGAATGGGATAAGTCAGGAATAAGAATCTTGACTAGTTTCATGAACAGAGCATGAAAAATAATGAAGAATTTTTAATTTTATTTTGTCTGTAGTACATTTACTTATACTAAAATTCTTCCATTTGGTTGACTGTACTTTACATTTAGACGCAAGTTGATAAATCAGACTGATTTTGTGTTTTAAAGCTTCAAATTCAGAAATCATACAACTCAAAAGGAAAAAGATTAAAACAAGAGAATATATTGTAAACCAACGAACGTGATAAATGACTTTTTGGGCTGAATTTCATGAATTCATAGATGGGGTGCAAAATTTTAATGCACTGTATATGAACTATTTTTCAAATGTATTACGATCACTGTTTTCCAACTTTACATAGACTTTAAGTGAACATTTCATGTTAATTTACCATTTTTTCCTGAGATTTATCTACGTATTTACTAAATTTTTGCATTTTGCTTATAAATATAATACCAAAAGGACATAAGAGAACATTTGTTTCTTGAAAATGCCCATAATTTTACCCAACTGTTATTTCTTTCATAGCTTTGAAGTAACCTATTAAACCTTTGAACATAACCCTTGAAGTATTAAACACATAGTTATCTTGTATTGACCAGACAGCCGTTGGTGTTGCCTATGTCTGAGGGAAGTCACAAAGCTAGAGAATTTAAGTAATATTTTACCAGTACGGAGAACTTCTTACGGCGTTTTTAATGAAAATTGACCGAATTTAGTAGTTCATTACTAACCTAGGAGCCTTTAACCTTTTGAGACCGGGGCTTTGGTAGCAGTAAGAGCTACCAAAAGACGGGAAATCTTGAACCGAATGCTTTCCCCCCTTTAAGAAATCACCTCCTATTTGCAACAAAGATTCTTGTGTAGTTTAATGGATTCTCAAAGGGGTGCATCTATGTCGCAAAAGAGAGATCTTTGAAAGAGATAAGTGGTTGAAAACCCAGGGACGTCAAATTTGACATTTCACCCCACTTTTCAGCCTGTAAAATGGGGGAAAAAGACATGGCCATTAAAGTGGACAACCCCGTCCATTCAAACAGGGAATGCAACTGCCAATATATTGGCCATCCGTCCACAAAAGGTTAACTATTCTTTTTATTCGAAAAAAACACACCAGAAATTATCATCAAGATTTTCCATACAGATATATTGTATTACTTTTCATGCCATTACATTTCCAATGAAATTTGATTCATTGTCAAATAGTTAAATGTTTGTTATTTTTTCGCATCTGAATGCATTTCGTGTCTCACATACGCTCATTACATATGATTTAACAAAATTACAAACAAGTTAAATGAATATTTCCTGGTGTGTTTGGTGTATTTAATTTATGGCAAAGCACACTAGGGCTATCTGCCTAAGGGTAGGGATGCCTTCGTGGAGGACTTTCTAAGGGAAACTGACTCGTATACACGTTACACATGGGGAAAACCACGAAAACACCCATGCAGCCAGCCCGTTTGCGGAATTCGAACCTCGGACCGAACTACCAGTGTTCAGCGACTTTACCGCTCTGCCGCTGGTGGGCTGAATATTTCCTGAAATACTGTACATATCATTCCGGAAAGTTTACATGAGTACCTTCATATCGAAACCCCTAATGTTTCTTTTCCTGCATTCAAGTTAAATTTTGAGTTAGAATTTTCAGTTTTGACGGAAGTTAATTGCGGATGGCTGTGATGTGTTCGTGTTTTCATAAACAGTTTTTGTGAAGTACCTTTTCGATAAACTTTTGAACACTTTGAAGATTAATACTTTTACATTACTGCCACTGCAAATCATTGAGTTTTCAAATATTTTCCTATTTATCGTTTACAACGCTTCGTAAAGACTTGGGAACAAATTTTTACTAAATAGTTATATTATTTGATTTAATAATTGTGTTACATATTTAGAAGATTTAACAACACTACTACGCTGAACCAGAAATTAAGAAAAGAAATGGAATTTTTATCTTAGTATACTATGGGGAATAGATTAACTTTCTCTGACTTAGATGTATTCGAATGTAGATAATGGAGACTTTTAACTCAGCTCATACAGACTTCGAATATTTTCTCTAAGTCACCACGATTCCTGACTTGCATTGTCATAGATTTTTCTCGTAAAGAGTATTTCTTAAAAGAAGTTTATATACTAATTTCATTAGAAACATGTCTAAAAAAATATCTCATCTTCATAAGAAACATCAACGCTTTAATTTGAATTACTAGGAAAACAAGAACCATTGTTTTGTAAACATGGTTTCTCTCTGACTCAAAAGTTTCTGTTCTGTCATATTCGAAATAAACAATTAACCGTACATAACCTAATATATTGCATTGATGAGTTATATTTTAACTTACTGCATACTGCATTACATTTCAAGTGAATGTGTTTATTGCATCTTTTAATAAAATCTTAAAGGCTGAAATGAGTGTTTCATTACCAAATTTGTACTTTCTAACTTCATTCTACTGAAACGAAAACATTCATAACTTATTGCGAAGAAAAATATTATACTTTTTGATTAATTTTCATACCACAGTATTATCTTTGAAAATTTTTTCCCTCGTCCACTGCTAATATATTGCTAATTTTCGTACGTGACAAAAAAAATTACTTTAGAAACTTTTTTACTTAAAACCTTGTATTGCATTGCTGCACCGGGGCCATGCTTTCATTTTTATTACATATCATGCGAATACTTAAAAAAAAGAATATTTTTTCCTTCTGTTAGCACAATTTTAACCAACATTTTACTATTACAGAGACTTCTTTAGTAAAATCTCAAGTATTAAATTGAACGTTTCATTACTAATTTTGAAGATTCTGGATATATCATACTTAAAAGTTCATAACCGATTAGCAAAATAATTTATATATGTACTTCGTTGTGCTCTTGGTTAAGTTTTAAACCGTTTTTTCAACACTTGATTTCTAGTGAAGTATCGAAATTCCGCTTTTTCCAAAGAATTTCGTAGACTACATATGTTCAGTACAGAAAATTTTCCTAACTTACCAGTATCATTACCAAAATAGAAAACAAGCAAAATTTTCCTAAAAATTTATATATTTATTTTTTTACAAACATGTACACGAATACTCACATTTAATTACTTAATATGTATTTTCCTATATCAGAACTAAAATTTCGAACGAAAATTTTTAACTAATGTTAGGTTCCGTAAAATTTTTGTATTTGTGATGTCATCTTTTTTTCGAAAAAGTTTTGAGAGTAGACTTTAGACATTTCGAAACTGTTTTCTCTTTTGCTATTGGAAACTATTTTATCTTTGCTGTTGATATATGCCAATGAATATACTTTTTCTTTTGGTTTATCTTCAACTTATGAGTTATTTAAATACTTAAAAATATATTTGTAGATCGTTTATGTTGACACTTGTGATAGATTTCTTGGATGTGTTTTTGGAAAATGTATTTATTTCATTCACGTGAATGAAACTGATGTTTTCTTAAAATTTTATTATTCAGAGATTGACTCAATTATGACAGAATGCCGGATTTGTTCCCAGTATTCAACATTCATATGAACTTCAGTATTCTAAATCTCTCACATAACTTTAATTTTTCCTATCAATAATAAGAAGACGAATGGAATAAATACAGGTTATGCAGACATAAGGTAAAAATCTGGATGTAAAAGAAATTCTTCATATCTAGGCAATTGAGTAGAATGTGTAAATATTCATCCTATCAGAAGCTTATTTTTTGAATTACATAGCATATAAAATGTAAACTTAATAAAAAGAGATATAATGAAGATCAAGTATTCTGCAAAATCTGGACGGATTAAACTAATATATACAAATCATAACCATTATTTTCTAAAAAAAATATTAAAAAAAACTTACCTTTTATGAAATCCTTTTCAAAAAAAAAACAACACCATAATTTTCAAACTTCTGTTTATTTTTTTTTTCTAAATAAGTTTTTACACACAATGCATGATATTGTGCATATCATCTTTTTACATACAAACATTTTTTGTACATACCATACATTTTTACAAAAGTTCATTTTCAAAAACCAAATGGTAAGGTGGTCAAGTCTGTTGAATCACCCTTTTGTCCAACACAATTCTGTACATTTTTGTTTCGGGTTTATTCACAACCTTTTCTTCTTTTTGGTTCTCGGGTGATTTTGGAGGGGTTGTGGCAGAGCTATGACATCACTTTTGGTCCAGGACTGCAGACCAGACTTTTGATGGCTTCAAAATTTAAGAGCTGGGAATTTCGGAAGTTCAACGAAAATCCTCTGACTTTGCAGCAGGTTTTCCCAGTGGCCGTCTGGTACGCATAGTTTTTCGGACCTCCTGAAAAAAAAAATAAAACATGATGAGAAAAAGACATAACAGAAAAAATATGCATTAAATTTTTTTTGGTACATATTAAATAAGGAACTTTTTAAAGGCCCTTACCTGACACGAAGGTTTTGATAATATCTCCATCCAGTTCGTCGGTAAATTCCCCTAAGAAGTTACCCAAGGGAGGATCATTGCGACCATTGGTAGCGTAGATGATGGAGTCTGTGTCGTGATACAGGACGTCTCGACCCAGCTTCTCCATTTCACTGTACAGCTTGAGACGAGCCCAAGCTGTCGTAAACGTCGCTAGAAAAATGTTGGTCGAGGCATCCTGCGGCACAAACTCCTTGGCAGACTCCCATTGTATTGCAGCCACCTCAGGCGTGGGAAGAAAGACATCTTTGATCTGAAAAAAAATAGAAGAGTCATGAGTTCACAGCTCAAAATACATGAAGTTGGTCGAAGTTTATAGATGAATAAAATCGATAAGAAAACTTACTTTTTTGGTAGGATCAGCCATCATCTTATTAAAGTCTGGCACCGTATGTACATAGGTAAGCTGTCCTTTGTTTATGTTCATACCCCATCTGAAAAACAAAATCCAACATAAATCATAACGAATTAAAAAAATAAAAATGTTTACAAAAAATTTAAGTACAAAAGAAATCATCTTACCTGCCCCAGAAACTGTTCAGGGCCAACTTGGCAACTTGTCGACGCCCAGGGTTCTTGGAAATCTTTCCAGCGTCCAACTTGACGCCCTCTCTTTCTTCATACTGGCGAATGTACTTCAGTCTGGCTTCTTCCGTCACACACTCCGAAGGCCAACCGCTACTTTCCTGTTTGATCTTCAGAAAGAGATCAATGTAGGAACGAAACAGGGAAGTAGACGATTCTTTGAAATGATAGACTTCGTAAATCTAGAAAATAAAGAATAAATTTCAGTTATGACAAAAGATTTTAAATAAATTTGGGTTATGACAAACAATTTAAATAATCTTTGAATACTTACATGTGTGACGCGGTAACCTTTCTTTATCGCCAGCTTGACTTCTTCCGATACCCACGTTCCGACAAGAGCTCTTTCGTCGTCTGTGTGGGTACAGGAAGACTGACTGACACTGTAGAAAGGGCGCAAGTCCGACACAGGGGGAACATCAGTTTCTTTCGGCACCGATATGGCAGTACTGGAAGATATAGGTTCCGAGGAGGAATCACACGGCATTGGAATGATGCCAAAGTAAGTTTCTAGATCCCCGAAGCTTTCCGTGATGATTTCCGGATGTCCCACAGGGTAGACGCAATATTTGTTCACCTGTGAAATAAAACAAAAAGTAGAAAAACACATCACAAAAAACATACATAAAAATCAGAAAAACACATCATCCATGAAAAAGGATTTTAAAATAATAAAAAAGTACGAACCCATGGATAGAGGGATGTGAAATCCACATATTTAGCGTCTCCCTCGTGGAACAATTTGAGGGCATTGGTCCGTCCTCCGAAAAATGACTCGCGAGGATTGAGCCGGTCCCTCAGATGGTGTTGATCCAGGAAAGCTTGGAGATCTGGATTTTCCTCTTTTTCTCTCTGAAACTCATGCTCCCACATTTCTATGACGTGGAAACCCTGGGCTCGAAGTTTTCGTGTGGTGTCCTCTGTTTTCTCTCTTAAAGTTGCCATGGAAACTCCTTTTAAGGGATGAATGACATCACCGTCATAGCACGCACTACATCCGTGAAATAAACAGCCCTAAAAAACACAAATATATTAATAGTGTTCCACATGTAAATTAAACATTAAAAGTGTAAAATCATTCAAAAGAGTCATATAGAAAAAGAATGGTTATATTTTCTTACCTGAAACTGATAGACGGTTTGTGTTGCTTGGCAGAAACCGTCTACCGAGATTCCGGCGATTCTGTGCTCTCCGGAACCGTTCAACTCATGTTGAATGGCAATGTCTTCCGAAGCAGCAACAAAGTCCAACCACCGGATCGAATCAGGGCTGTAATTCTTGGAGTTGACGTAGCCGTGTGTGGGCACCATGACAATCGTGTTAGGCTGAATGTGGTCACTCCGATACTTTGCCATACAGGCTGACGCAATGGTCACGTATCTAAACAGAAAAAAAACAACTTCATGAGCATGATTATTTCCATAAGAACATAACTGTAAACATGATCATTATTGTATAAAAGAATTAAGAAAATAACTTACTGGAATGGATCCACACCCGCCACATCCAAAAACTGGGCTCGAAATTCCAGGCAACAGCGACGAAGAATATCCACGTCCGATCTATTAAAAAGAAAAATGTTAAAAAATACGAAACATAAAATATAAAATAAAACAAATATTAAATAAATAAGAATAAAGGAGGGAAAAATATACCTGCAATAGGCCAGCATCTCTGCTTGAAAATTGAACACATCCCCCTTGTGTTCTTCATGCCAGGACAGAAATGCTTGTCGGGCTGAAGTGCTCATGGTATCCGGGCTGTAATAGTGGGGCTTCGGTAGCGGTCCGACATAACTCTGATTTTCTCGGGAGTTAAAGAGATGCGGGAAGTATCCTTTCTTCAACTCGCTGAGACCGAAGCATCCCGGTAGTTTGGCCAACGCCATCGGTAGAAAATTTAACGAGTCTATGACCCGAATGTTCAGACTAGGGTGTCTTACACTCATGATCATAGACCCGTTAGGGATCACCTCCGGCGCTGTGCCTTGCTCCAGGAGCCAGGCCATCACGAACTGTCCGTCGAACCTGTAAGTAAAAAAAAAATATGAATAATATTGAAAAAATAGTCGTACTTAAAAAGCATGCAAACTATGGTATTTTTAACTTACCCTTTCATGTTATGTGCCACGGCGGTGAAGCCCTTGTGCTGTGGTAGAACAGCCAGGCGCAGAAATCTTGGCATGCCGTCGTATCCCGGAAACACTTTTTCTGTGCCGTCGGCATACTGAGCCACCGCGAAATTTACGAGATGCTCCCCCGAAGACTGGTCCGTTTCAAAGTCAAAGAAGATGAACTTGTCATCGGACTTCTTCGGAGCAACACGTCGCAAATAGCAACGGTGCTCAGCAGCCACGACAAACTGGCCGCAAGACGGACACTTGGTGGTTCCGCACTTATGCAACTCTTTAGGGCAATCCCGCCTCCGGATCACTTGGCAGCATTCCCTGCACTGGTATACCTGTAATGAAAATTTTAAAATATTTAAACATACGATAGATAAACATTTAAATTATTTAAACGAGAAATTTGCACATATATTGATTTAGATGAATAATTTCAAAACACTTACCCTATCGCAAAGTGAAAACTCTTGGTTTCCAGTCAGGGCTTTGTGTGCTGCATAACAGGCATCAGATCGGCAGAGACGGTCGCAATCCTGGCATCGTTGGGGCTGGCCCGGAAAGCAGTCGGTCCTCAAGCATATGGGACAGGCATTGGCACATCTATGTAATTTGGTAGGCCTTTTCACAGGTCGTGCAGTAATGATCACTGCCGAAAAACCCTTTGAGGGACTTGATCACTTCATAATGTCCATGGTGAAGCCATAAATTGATCCGTTGTGGCCTCTCTCTTCCTTTATAGACCACCTAAAACACAGACAAAATTTTTCTCTTGAATTCCAAAATCGAACCCTTTAAAAATCAGTTTTTAACATCTAATTGATTACATAATCATCTGAAAATTCTATGTGCATTGAACATCGAAACTAATTTACATGCATGCATTTTATGCATAGATGAAATTAATCTAACAATTTAAAGTAATCTAAAATCTGCATTTAATGTTTAAAAGTTATATTTTGAACGTCGAAGCGAACTGCATACATTCATGAATTTTATGCGCGAATATGCATAAAATATAAAAATTCACCATTCATTTTTACAAGTTGTATTTTTAATATCTAAATGAGTTGAATTAAAATTCATTGTGCAGTCAAGTTTTCATCCGTTACATTTTAACATAGAGAAACGAATTGTATGCATGCATGCATTTTATGCGAACATTCATAAAACATAAAGTTAATCTAAATATTTAGTGCAATCTAAAATTGCGCCATGCATTTTTCACAAGATATATTTTTAACATGGAAACAAAGTGATCCTAAACTATGAAGGTAGCTACTCTCAATTTTTTTTTCAGTTCATTAATATTGAAAACTTTTTTAAAAAATTATTCACGTACTCAAATAAATTTTTACCATATAGCCAAAAATTATAAAAGAACTAAAACTAAGTTACGGTTTTCAAAACATGCAAAAATTTTAGATTAGTATGAACATTTAAAAGCAAAAAGTATCTTGAGACAAATAATGACTTACCCGGTTCAAATTATCTGAAGAAAAGACTGCAATTTGTGTATCCAGATGGTCTTCAAATGTAGCAATTTCAGCAAATGTGCAGGGGCCTAGAGGCACGTTCGCGGCCGTGTGGAGTTCTTTAGCACAACAATCGCCTTAGCACGACACAGTCCTTCATCATCGTAGGGTATGGACAAGACAGATTGTTTTCTTAATCTGTCCATGGAGATATTGATGACCCTTCGATTTCCTCCGGCTCCAACAGGTCGTCTGATAGTAATTACGTCCACCAAGAACCCTGCATCCAGCTCGATCTTGTCTTTGGACTGCAGCACTTTCATGACGGCTGCTAAAATATTTTCAATCGTTAGGGTTGATATTGCCATCAGAGATGTGCTGATGGGTTTATCCAACCCTTCTGCTTGGATGCAAAACCGTATAAGATCCGAGGGGCTCAAATCGCCTGTTGTCCTGCGAATCAGTTGTTCGAACAATTCCCGGACTGTATCAGCAATTCGAACCATCGGGACTCCTTGCACATTCAAAGGCAACCGTTCAATGTCCGCACTAGCTCGGAAAGTAATTTCCTCGGCTTGGTACTTGTGGTTTCGGCGACGAGACTTTTCAGTGAGCACAATCGCCTCATCGATCTGAAAAGTAAAAATAAAAATAAGTTTTCGGTAAGAATCAAACATTTTCAAAAAAAGACATTCATGTAAATAGAAAAATACACACCGAACGTTCATCGGAACCAGCCATATACACAGAGGGCCACGAGCTGATGAGGAAGAAGTCTAAAATAAATAAATAAAAATAAATACATTCATTTCTAGTACTAAGAAAAAAAATATTCTAACATAATCTAAAAAATGCTTAAATATTTACCTCAAATCCGGAACCCACTTGATAATACAAGGGCAGAACCAGAGGATTTTCCAGGAATATTTGATCCACTTCATCATCGATTAACTATCAAAATAAATAAAATACATTTAAAATACGATTCAAACAATAAAATACGCTTCGAAAATACGTGTAAAATAATTTAAACTTACATCGTCATCCGAATCGTGGAAAGGACAATCGGGATCCTCAAATAACACCTAACAATTAAAAAATTAGAATAAATAACATATTAAAAAAAATTCGTGTTTAAAAATAGTAATCTAAAACCAAATAGAAGCGAAAAATGTACTTACATTAGATGCAGAATAAACTCGCTTGGCACACATCGTGTAGAAAAACGAAATGGCGCAAAAGAAAATAACAAAAAGGCAAGATAACGCTCACTCAGCAAAAACCAGAGTAAAAATGACTGCAATCGTCCACGCGAACGAATATATAGACGATGTATCAGAAATAAATACGCTGATTGGCTGAAATAAGATAGATATTGTTAGCGGAATGCTGATTGGTTGTTAAGATTGTATACGTTCGCCACGGCGGATGTAGAAAGCGTGAAGCGGTTTCGACAGGCTGCAATGTGAAAGAGGTGACGTTTGCCTGTTTCCCTCAGCCTAGTGACGTCATGTTGATTTTCGCTCAAAACGAAAAAATAACAGGTTAGATAACATGAAGGGGGGTATCCGAGCGGTAAAACGCTAGACTCCCATCCAAGAGATAGCGAGTTCGAATCTCGGCTGTGAAGTTATTTTTAAAATTCAGGGAAAATGATATTAAATTCATTAAAAATGGATTAAAATATAATGGAATCAATTAAAAATAATGACATATTAAAAAATAATGAATAAAAAAGATTAAATAACTAAAATAATAAAGGAAAATAAT